CTGGGGATCGGGTTCTGGACCGGGAACAAAAACAACAGCAGAAAGAGAGCAGTTTTATTATGCAAAAACCAAGTTTTTAATCGTTTGATTCTGTACATTTGGGACTGTGGAGGGCCTATCAGCAGGTGATAGTGTGAAAAAAATGAGCATGGTAGCGTTTAGTGTGAGCATGGTAGCGTTAGCATGGTAGCGTTAGCATGGTAGCGTTAGCATGAGCTTTAACGTGGTAGCGTGAGCATGGCAGCGTGAGCATGGTAGTGTTAGCATGAGCGTTAACATGATAGAGTTAGCGTGAGCGTGGTAGCGTTAACGTGAGCATGGTGGCGTTAGCGCGAGCATGGTAGCATTAACGTGGCAGCGTTAGCATGGTAGAGTTAACGTGAACATGGTAGAGTTAGCGTGAGCGTGGTAGCGTTAGCGTTAACATGGTAGCGTTAGCATGAGCTTTAACGTGGTAGCGTTAGCGTTAACATGGTCGCATGGTTTACTTTAAAATCTTCGCTTTTTAAAAGGATTTTTCCATCATTAAGATCTTTGTGGACTTCTACAGACTCAATTCAAACACACAACAGCAGAGAAGCAGCAGTTTTAAAGGGGACGTGTTATGCAAAACCAAGTTTTTAATCGTTTGATTCTGTACATTTCGGGACTGTGGAGGGCCTATCAGCAGGAAAAGTGTGAAAAAATTAGCATGGTAGCGTTAATATCCTTTAAATGCATTTTTACTTTACAAACTAATGCATTTCCCAATAATAAAAACCTTTGTGGACTTCCATAGACTCAATTCAAAATCAGAAAATTTGATTTTTCCAAACCCTGACCTTCCTTGTTAGATAAGAATTATCTTTAAAATGCATTTTTACTTTAAAATCTGTGCTTTTTAAAAAAATGTTTTTCCATAATTAAGATCTTTGTGGACTTCTATAGACTCAATTCAACGTCAGAAAATGTGTTTTTTTTAACCCTGGCACTTTCTCCTAAATCAGAATCCTACTTAAAATAAATTACCAATTCATTTTTATTAATTGGTTCATTTCACCGGCAGGTGGAAGCTGGGGATCGGGTTCTGGACCGGGAACAAAAACAACAGCAGAGAAGTTGAGTTTAACTCATTGACTGGCAGCCATTTTCAGAACAGAGTCCCATACTGCCAGAGTTTTTTGAGCATTTTGACTGATTTTTCTAGAGCCACAGAATAGTTTGTGCTATGACTATGTAAACACCGAACACACCAAAAGAAAGAGTAGACTCTCTTCTTTCATCAGGAAAAAAAACGTGGGTTCTGGACCGGGAACGAAAACAACAGCAGAGAAGTCGAGCTTAAAGGGGACATGTTATGCTAAACCAGGTTTTTAACTCATTGACTGCCAGCCATTTTCATGTTTTTTTTTTTTTCCTAACCCTGGCACTTTCTCTTAAATCAGAATCCCACTTAAAATTAATTACCAATTAATTTTTATTAATTGGTTCATTTCACCGGCAGGTGGAAGCTGGGGATCGGGTTCTGGACCGGGAACAAAAACAACAGCAGAAAGAGCAGTTTTATTATGCAAAAACCAAGTTTTTAATCGTTTGATTGTGTACATTTGGGACTGTGGAGGGCCTATCAGCAGGTGATAGTGTGAAAAAAATGAGCATGGTAGCATTTAGCGTGAGCATGGTAGCGTTAGCATGGTAGCGTTAGCGTGAGCGTTAACATGGTAGCGTTAGCATGGTACCGTTAGCATGAGCTTTAACGTGGTAGCGTTAGCGTGGTAGCGTTAACATGGCGTTAACATGGTCGCATGGATTTTTCCATAATTAAGATCTTTGTTGACTTCTACAGACTCAATTCAACGTCAGAAAATGTGTTTTTTTCCTTACCCTGGCACTTTCTCTTAAATCAGAATCCTACTTAAAATAAATTACCAATTAATTTTTATTCATTGGTTCATTTTCATTGTCCGTTAAGATCTTTGTGGACTTCTACAGACTCAATTCAACGTCAGAAAATGTGTTTTTTTTCCTAACCCTGGCACTTTCTCTTAAATCAGAATCCTACTTAAAATAAATTACCAATACATTTTTATTAATTGGTTCATTTCACCGGCAGGTGGAAGCTGGGGATCGGGTTCTGGACCGGGAACAAAAACAACAGCAGAAAGAGAGCAGTTTAACTCATTGACTGGCAGCCATTTTCAGAACAGAGTCCCATACTGCCAGAGTTTTCTTTTAGCATTTTGACTGATTTTTCTAGAGCCACAGAATAGTTTGTGCTATGACTATGTAAACACCAAACATACCAAAAGAAAGAAAAAAAAACATGTGGGTTCTGGACCGGGAACGAAAACAACAGCACAGATACCGTCTTTAAAGGGGAAATACTAAGTATAACCAGGTTTTTAACTCATTGACTGCCAGCCATTTTCCTGTATTTTTTTTCCCAACCCTGGCACTTTCTCTTAAATCAAAATCCTACTTAAAATTAATTACCAATTAATTTTATTAATAGGTTCTTTTACTTTGTCCATTAAGATCTTTTTATGGACTTTTATAGAGTCAATTCAAGGTCAGAAAATGTGTTTTTTTCCAAACTCTAACTTTCCCTGTTAAATCAGAATTATATTCAAAATGCACATTTACTTTAATACATGTGCTTTTTTTTAATTTAGATAATATAAAGACTTCGTGAGCTTCCATAGGGTCAGAAAATTGTTTAAGTTCCTAACCCCTCCCATTGACACAGAATCCTCCTTAAAATACATTTTTACTTTACAATCTAATGATTTTGCCATTGATTAAGACCTTTGTGGATTCCATAGACTCAACCTAAGGTCAGAAAATGTGTTTTTAAAATGGTTTCCAGTGATAAACATGCTTCTCTAACCCTTGGGTCTTTTCCTGTGTGATAAATGAAGGAGAGAGGAAGGCATTAGCTCACTAAGGCTCTCACCTCGAAGAAGCTCTCCACGTACTGCAGGACGTAAACCCCACAGTCGCTGAAGTTGTCCTGCTGAGGAACTCGGGGGCTGGAGCCCCTCATCACGTCTTTCCCGAAGCTCCGCTGGCTCCCCTTACGCACCTCCCACTCCACCTCCAGGTACCTAAAACAAGCGCACACCCCATTAAAAGCAGCTCTAAATAAAACAGAAAACACAGCTTTTTCTGTGTGGATAACCTTTGAACAACAGGATATTAATCTAAAATATATATACAGTGGGGGAAATAAGTATATGACCCCTTGCTGATTTTGCCCACTTACAAAGAATGCTTATTTTTCCTCATCAGATGGTTATCAATTTTTATAAATTCATATGATGTGATTTTCTGGAATTTTCTTTGGGATTCTGTCTTTCACTGTTAGAATGTACATATGATTAAAGGTATAGATCGTTGCGTTCTTTGTAAGTGGGAAAACCTGGAAAATCAGCAAGGGGTCAAATACTTATTTCCCCCATTGTATATAAAATATATATTAGTGTAAAATCTAAAAATTTAAAATAAATCTGATGGCAGAAATCGATTTCTGACGCAATTCTGATCTGAATTGATATGCTACATGACCCCCTTCCCATTGGTAAAAAAAATGCTTTTGATCCAAGATGGCCGCTTTCAAGATGGCGGCTTTCAAGATGGCGGCCATGTTGTGGACACAGCCTAAAAGATAAACAACCCACCCCGCCCCTCACCCACTAACACTGGGGGGTGTAGATGAGAGTTTCTGTAATAAAACACAGTCCCGTGACCTTTGACCCTCTCTGTGTTTTATCTAATCGTGTTTTTTTTGTTGACTTTCTTTGAAGCCTTTGAAGTCAGACTTCAAAGGGATTCCGGATAAGGCTCACTCTCTCAGCGTCTTCACCACGGTGGACCTGGCCGGCCCTCTCAGGGAGTCCATCACCAGGATGCAGGGCCTGGAGGGAGGAGGGAGGAGAGGGT